CAAATTAAACAAGGCAAGCTAAAGTCTTACCCACATCGTTTTAAAGAAAATTCACATTATTTGAGAAATATTATTAAAATATGAAGAAATTTAAATGAAAGATGCAATGACTACTTCTTCTTCAAGCATCAATTTTGGATAAAACATCATTTTGGGAAAATATGCATTATTTTACACTAACGCACATTAGGCTGACTCATTTTATACACATTATTTTAGACCAAATACGTACCATCCAGACTTGCTCTGTTTCAAATTAAAGATGCAATATTTTAGGCTAAAAGTTCATTAGGTTGACTTCTTTTAAAAGCATTGTTTTAGTCTTTTAGACTAAATATGCACAGTTCAAATACGCATTCTTTCAGTCAAATATCCATCATGTTCATCTAAATACACATTAACTGATTAGGAAGTTCAACACACTCATCATTTTTATATTTAAAAACAAAAATCTAAATACACATTATTTGGGATAAATATGCATGATTTATTCATTTAAACTTCTACTTATATTTATAGAAATGTTATCATTTTTAAGGAGAAAAATGCTTTTTGAAAAAAAAAATGTAAAATAATCTCATACATTCATCTTGGTTGATTAAAAGTTTTTTTTTTTTTAAAAAAGAGAAATAATGTGGTAACATTTTAATAATTATTTAGGTGCACTAAGCAAATCAAAGTTTCATAGAGCACTCGCTAATATATTACGGTGCATCCAACTTAAGTACATTTTTACAAATCATGAGTACATTTTCACATATCAGTGAATGCACTCTGTAACATTATCCACTACACCATAATAATCATGAAAATTCCATCGCAGCCTTTTTTTTTTTTTTTTTTTTTTTTTTTTTTTTTACATTTTTCATTATTTTCCCGCCCTTGAACCACCTAAATGGACAAATGAGATTATTTAATTTCATATTTTTCAGGAAACATTGTTCTTATTATACGATCCTAATTCTGTACACACACATATAGGAGTGAGTTCAAATGAGAATAATTTCCAACTGTAAAAATTGAGGACTGATCATAGCTGCTTATCATGGTTCATTAATAGTAATTATTGAGAGTTTTATTTAGTAAAAATGCACGGAGCTAATTTTATAATTATTGTAAACTTTTAAGTTTGCAATATTTTATTTTTTTTTGAAAATAAGTTTGCAATATTTATTATTAAACTGACCCTACCATTTTTTCTTATTCTTCAACAACCCTCAATTATTTATTTTTCAAATAAATAGGTCAGTTTAATCTTCACTTTTTACCTTGAAGCATGTTCGTTCTCATCTGATCCCTCTCATATATATATATATATATATATATATATATATATATATATATATATATATATATATATATATGAGTTGTGACATGACATAAGGGCTCATTTTGTTCGCGGAAAATATTTTAACGGAAGTGGAATTGGAATTCCATGGAAAAATAATTACTAGGAAGATAAATTTTATTGTTTGGTTGGTGGAAAAAGAATTACTAGGAATACTAATTCTATTGTTTGGTTAGATTTGGAATTGTAAGGAATAATGAGTATAAAGACCTATATGCCCCTACAAATTAATAAAAGTAATATAATTAAAAAAGAAAGCAAGGGGCATTCAAAAAAAAAAAAAGTAAGCAAGGGTAAAATAGGCAATCTAATCTTTCATGGAAAACAAAATCCTTGGTCCAACCAAGGATTTTGTTTTCCTCAAATTTGAGGAATTTATTTTCCAATGAAAAATGAATTCCATGAACCAAACACTAGAAAACAACATTTTCCTTCACTTTAAGTAAGGTTGGAAAACATTTTCCATGAACCAAACATCCCCTAAATGTTGAAATACTACATTTTCCATTTCCATGCTACTTTGATTGTAATGATTATATCAAACAACATTAACCAAAACGATGAATCTGCTGGTAAACTTTGAAAAGCGCATAGATCTGCATTAATGTATGTTCCTTCAACAACTCAGAAGAATGAAATCTGTGATCACAGGAAAAAGAAAATAGAAGTGAACTTGAAAGCACTGTAAAGTGGAGTGTTGTATGTTTCAAATGTAGATGGCAACTAGGGCAACATAACTTTGTCAACTTGTGGAGACATCAAAAGACATTTCTCCCTTCACAAACTCGAGTTGCTGCAACACCCACCCCACCCCACCCCTGCATGCACAAAAAAAAAAAAAAAAAAAAAAAAAAAAGCAGCTAAGTTTGATCATTATTTATATTGTATGTTCCTACAATTATATATGCTATCTTTTTTCTTTGCCCGTGAATCCAGACATTTTACCCTCCTAGAATTGTGCCCATAGTTGTCAAAATCAAGATTGAAATTACAAACCTTGTAATTTAAAGGTCTAGCGCCTAAGATTTACATCCGTTTTCAGGAAGAGATTGTTGAAAAATTGATATAAATTTGGCACATGAGTATTCATTTTGAAATATAATGTCGATTTTGATTGAGTTAAAGTGAATCCAGATTCTCTTATGTGAGGAGATGAATTGCATATATTTATTCATTTTAATTAATTTGAAAAAGTCTTTGTCCCACAATGAAAATTAAAGAACGTGGATTTGACGTAATTAATGTAAATATGAACCTCTAGTAATGACTTTATATATAAACCTAAATTTATACTAATGACTTTATGAATTATGAACATAATAGTGATTTTATCAACTTACAATAATGACTTTATGTACCTGTATTATTTATTTATTTATGTATTCATTTATATTTAAAAGATCTCAATAAAAACTTTTTAATAATATATTTTTTAAACATTAAGTTTATTTGTTCAAAAAGAAAAATGAAAAAATAAATTGAAGTTTTTTTTTTTGAAGAAAAAATAAATTGAAGTTAAATAGTTAGGAAGAAAAATTATGGATGACTTGGATTCATGATGCAATATGACCCTAGTCCATGATATAATTATTGTTGTTTAGTAAACAAGGCGACTATATAACAAAATTGTTTAATACAAAAAACTTGCTGCATGCCTGCATATATAATATGATGTATGTAAAAATTTGTATATTATGATATAAAGATTTACAGGCTGGGTTAAATCAATATTATAGTTATTCAATACAATTAAAAAGTTTGTATGTTGTTGTGTAAAGACTTGCACATTCATATAAGAAGTTGCACGTACTTAATACTATATTAGGTACAATTCAAATTTGCACATAAACTGATAAAAGTATCCATCGTTATACCCTACACCACGGCGCATATAGCATTGTGCACCGCGCGCCTCTCAAAACGACGTCGTTTTGGGGTCGTTTTGGGAGGCGCGGTAGGAAGTTGCTGGGATTATGTGTATTTGTTCACACAGTTATGTGTATTTGTTCATACAATTATGTGTATTGGTTCATACAGTTATGTACATTTTTTATACAATTATGTACATTCTTTTTATACAATTATGTACATCCGAATCAGAAAATTTGTGTGTATTATGTTAATAGTTGATGTGTATTATGTTAAAAGTTTATGTTTATTATGTATTATGTTAGATTATGTGTATTATCTTTTAAAAAGAGTATGTATATTTTGTTATATAATTATGTACATTCATGTATACAATTATGTGTATTCTAGTATAACATTATGTACATTCTTGAGCAGCGAGTTTTTTTTTAAAGAAAAAACTACTGCCATTCACTGGGGCAGAAAATTTCAAAAAAAAAAATAATAATAAAACGACGTCGTTTTGCATCTGGACGCATAGTGCAACGCGCGCCGTGGTGTAGGATATAAATTGCCTAAAAGTATAGTTGTCTACTTTGCGCAACAATATGGGTTGAAAGTAATTGGACTTATTTGGGCTGATCTTTGTTTTTTTTTTTGGAACAATTTGGGCTGATCTTTTAACAAATTATTGTGTGGGTCTAAAACGACGTCACTTGACGTTTAAAAAATATTTTGTGCTCCACACACTTATGTGTTAAAATAATAAACTGTTCAAGGTAAGATAATGTATTTTATAAGTTAGCTTAATGTACTTTGTGTTAGAATAAAATTTCTGATATAAGATAATGTACTTTAGGACTTTATTAAAAATCGGTTGAAAAATATGGTTACTAAAAATCAGAAGTTATCTAAAGTTCTAAACCAATTAAACCGGTTGAAATAAAAAATAATAATAATAAAAGAAAAATATGAATAGACAAAATGCCCTTACTAAAAAATAGAAAAAGTCACGAAAAGGACTAAAAGTGTCCAAAAAATAATAGTTTGGGATATTAAATGACAAAAATGATAGTTGAGACTAAATTTAAAATTGTCACCAAATAACCTCGGGTGGAAATAGGGATGGCAATTTCAACCCGCCCCGCGGATATCCACCCGAATCCACCCCCCATGGATCGGGTTTTTTTGGGTGATAATGGGTGGTGGGTCGGGAGTGGGTCTTAAAAAAGTAAACGCGCAGTGGGTCGGGTTGGGTTCGGATTCTATGTACAAAATCCGCCTAGAACCCCACCCGACCCACCATGTGTGTGTGTCTATATATATAATAATAAAATAAGTACTAGTATGTAATTATTTATAAAAATTTATATAACTTTGTGTATCTTTTTACTATTTTTATATCTAAACTATTAAGTTTATTTTTAAAACTTAACAATTTAGTTATTATATTTAAATATTTATATTATTTTATATTTTAGTACCACTAATGAATTTTATTATTTTATTATGTGTAAGTAATTTAAATATTATTTTTTGAAAAAAATAATAAAATGATAAGTGGTGGGTACCCATAGTGGACACCCGCACCCGGTGGGAGTGGGGGTGGATTTTGAAAAAGTTCACCCGAGCGGGTTGGGGTAGAGAAAATGTAAGGTGGGTCGAATGATGAATGTAGCCCTCCCCGACCCACACCCGACCCATTGTCATCCCTAGGTGGAATTAATAACTCTTTATTCAATTACATATTTAATATTATAATAAACATAACTCTTTTTGCAATGGATTCATAATGAAAAGAAGCAACTTAACTCTTTGTATTAATTTATAAAATTTCTCAAGGCTTACAAGAAGCATCATCCAACAAAAAATGCAAATATTAAAAAAAAAAAAAAAAACAGAATTAGGCTAATGAGTTATGGAACCTCAGGAAGGGGAAAAAAGTTTGCAATTTCTTTAAGATTATTGCCTCGATCAGACAGAAATGATGATGAACAGCTGAGCAGCCCTGCCTGCCAAGAATCTATTTCCCTTTGAGCTTGCAGTAGGCATAGAGACCAGACCCCATAAACCCCATACATTGCCCCACCACGTTCAACTGGATAAGAAAATTTATATTATACACCACACATACATAAATACCCAACTATATATAAAACTTTGTCCTCACCAGATCAAAGGGCAGCCCTCCAAAAACCAGCCACCCAAATCCAATTGTAAAGAAGTCCTAAAAACAACAACAACCATAACATCAGAATCACAGGACTACAATCACTACTCAAGGGTGTGCATTGAATAAACTCTATCTTGTAACCCTATAAACCAGTCTAGCTAGGTTGTCCATAGCTGACCGGCTCAATTGCTCAAACCAAGAAGGTCAATAGGCCGCTCCCATGAGGAGTTAACTTATAACCTTGTGGTTACCAAGTCAGCAACCTAACCAATTTGGCTGGCGATGCCCTGTATGTGATGATGTGTTCTAGGAACTGATATGTGTATATATATACCTTTAGGTTTCCACAGATTGTCTGTGTAAGAGCAGAATTGAGAGTTGTATTCAGATACACACAATAGTTTAGGAGGAAAGCCATGGCACATGATAAAACCATCAAAGCCTGCAGATTTATGTAAATTTTCATGTACCTCATTGTTATCTGCACAATTTCCATAACCACAAGTCCACAAAAGTGTTTAAATTGATAACTTGATCAAATCACCTGAAACCCAGAAGTGTAGAAATATGGAAACTCTAATGTCACCCCCAAATCTCCTTCAAAAGCTGTCCAAATTAGCAAGACTGGTGCACATATTATCCCTACAAAAAAAAAAAAAAAAAAAAATCAGATACATACATTTCTGCAATAACTTCTCTGTCTGGAAAACTGAAAATTGGAATATAAAAAATGAAAATTTGCATTACCATTGCACCACATTAGACCAAAGCTGTTAAGCCCACTGGATTCTCCTAATGAAATGACCAAAAATTTGTTTACTAAGCTACACAACACGCGATCAATGCAGAAGGTATATATGCAGGGAGTGTAACTATATATAATAGCCTTACCAACGCGGGCTATACAAGCGAGATAGATTGCTGTTGTGATGTTCGATGTGAAAACGATAGCATAGCTATAGAAATCGAACGAGAGGTCTCGAGATCCAGCAATGAAGGCCCCGAGTATGATTATCCCTACACTGATTGTCATCCTTATCACTATCAGTCTTTCATTGGAACTTGGCAGAATTATTGAAGCTAATAATCGCGACGGGTATAAAGACTTACCAGGCAACAATATGAGAAGTATGTTTTCTGCCAACAATTATGTACTCTGCCACCATTGTGAACGCGACAGTCGTCCTTCTGAGAGTGGTGTACATGGGAATGCTGATTCCTCGAATGGATTCCATAGAAACCAGCTTTTCATAGAATCACAGACAACATAGTTAGTTGTAACAAGGTTTGCAGAAAATGATGAAATAATGTATGGTTATGATGACTTAATTACCATGTAAACCAAATATGAAAATGCAACTGGTAGAGTGTGAACAAGGGTCTTGAATGGTACAATCAAAGGTGTGTTGGTCAGTGCTGTCTGTGATGCTTGAACTGTGAAAGAGATTATCTTCCAGCGTCTCAGGGCATACAGTAATGCAGTTGAAGACAGCATCTGCAAGTTTGTTCAACAAAAATTATATTGAATGCTCATCAATACAAAACTGACTATTTATCGGAGCCAAATTCATCAGACTGTTGACTTGGTAACCACAATGTTTACAAGTTCAACTTCCGGTGAGGGCAAGCTATTGGCATTTTTAGTTTGAGCCGGTCAACTATGAGTAACTTAGATTGGTTTACCTGATTGGTCTTTTGAAACTAGAGTCACGAGGCAAGGTTTACCCGATAATTGGTTGGTTTACCTGCTTATTGGTCTTTTGACCGTTAGAAGACAGGATTTACCCGATGCATTGGTTTAACCCGATCAGCTATGAACAACTTAGATTGTGGTTTACAGTTTACCTGATTAATTATTTGGTTTAAGAATGGCACTTTCACAACCACGACCCACCCTGACCAGTTGTTGACACTCAATTCCACTTTGGTGCGTGTCACATCAATCCTAATCTCTTGTTCATTCCACTGAGTTATGGGCAACAATCCTGCCTTGACCGTACCCCACACCACCATATCTCCTTAATCCCAACCAATCCCCGCCAACCAACATTGTAATTAATGTTATCAAAACTATTATATTATAGTAAAATGCTGTTATCATCTCATATTGTCATGCTAAGAAAATCTTTTCTCATTGGTCATCTATCATGTCATAAAGCCACAATTTCTGGATATGATTAAACCCACTTAAGAGTTAAGATGGAAATTAAAATTATTGCTCAATGAAGACATCCTAAACTAAGGCCTTTTCATCCATCATCTCGTGAAACCCACTAAACTTGTTCAATTATTGCAACTTGGAAATAAAACATTAAAAAAAAAAAAAGTGAAGTTTATGTCTAAGATAAGGACATTGGTTTCTTTTCTAGTGGAGATATTAATTTCAATTTCAATCCCCTACTATTGTGTTTTCAGTTTTTTTTTTTAATACTTAAATTCAAAATTAAATATATTTGATTTCTTACTATTAAAAGTTCGTTTGTCAAATATAATGCTAAAATAGTAAAATGTGTCATTCTTCTCCCAAAAGGTTTAATCCCTAACTCCAAGGACCCCCACATCCTGACCCGACAGAATATTTGAGGGTGACTCAATGGTTCAGCAGACAGAGTCAATGCCGGTGCGCACAATGAGTCATTCTTGATCCTCCATTAGGATTAAAGTTTTTAACTGATGGGAATCAAATTTTGTTGATTTCAAACATATTAGCCAAAAGTAAATTAAAAAATAATAGTTAAAGGACCAAAAATTAGAATTAATCCTTTTCTAGTGTTATTGTACTCCTTAGTCCATTTTGTTTGTATTTTTAATACTTAAGTTCAAAATCAACTACATTTGATTCCAAACTATCAAAAAATCTGTCAATTTTAGTGCTAAAATATGTCATTCTTAGTCCTTCATCAAGAGTAAAAGAAACACATTTTCAATTGTTATGAATCATTTTTTTTTTAATACTTGAGGAACCAAAAGTGTAAAAGCACAATAGTTAAATGACCAAAATTAGAAACAACCATTTTCTAGTGTTATTGCACCCCTCAACTCATTTTCTTACTTTAATTTGCCCAAAAATAATTGTTGCATAAAGCTATTATTGTTCACAAATTTGTATAAGTTGATGTCCACAACTGATTGAATTAGTCACTATACAACATATATGCAACGTAACATATTCCATGTGGTCGTTTCATGCAAGGTGGTCAGCTGTTTTTATGGATGATTATATTTCATAACAGTAACTACTGTTTAAATAGATAAAGATGTGCAAGTAAGGAAGCTGGAAAACATGAATAAATTAAAAATTCAACTAAATAATAACGCCCATATATACATACAAGTGCAAAAAGGATAGATATATGTACTTGCCTGAAAAAGTGTGATCACATTTGCACATGGAAAGTTGTATGATGAAAGTGCTGCTTTGTTGAACATGACCAAGAGTACTGGAAACCCACAACCATTAACAACAACAGTAAAAACAAAACTAAAAAAAAAAAAAAAAAAAAGTACTGTTTCCATAAACAAAAACCACAAAACTCTTTAATTGATTCCACGTGTGCACTCGAAATTCTAACACATGGCATGCATTTCACCAAATTTAAATTAATTAGCTCATCTCCATAACTCTAGCTTGATCACCATTTATTAAACCTCAGGCATTCCCGTTATTTATTTAATAAATAAAATTATAAACGTATGTTACGGCATACATACTTATCGACTATCAAAATTTAGACTGGAATTCTGAATTAGACCCTCCCCGATCAAGAATAACACGATAGATAGATCTTTCAATCCATAAATTATTATTCACGATATAAAAAGCACAAAATCATGATGCATGTAGAGCTTAATGGGCAAATTAAAATACAAATAACGTTTATGACGGTCTGAAACAGAAATAATGTTAGGATTAGTCTAAACTGAGAAACTTAAACACATCAAGCATGCAGGTGAGGGTGGGGGCAGAAGAAAGGGGACAAATAGTATGTACATATATATATGCAATAATGAAGGAGGAATGTTTGTTTTGTGGGAAAAAACTAACAAAATTAAAGTAAACAAACCTACCAGCGCAAGCCATGTAAGAGATGGCAACACAGACACCCTTTTTGGACATGGCGGCGGCGGCGGGGCTGCTCTTTCTCTCCGCCGCATCTCGGGACACCACCGGCAGAACGGCCGGCGGCAACTTGTCGGAGGAATGGACCGGCACGGCCACCATATTTATTTTCTGGGGAATTGAAATGAATTGAAGAAGAAAGGAAGGAGAGGAATAGTGTATAGTGGGTGTTTGTTTGAGTTGGCAGATTATATATTATGGGTTAGGTGGAAGATTGGGAGAATGATGTTGCCTTTTCAGGAAGAAAGTGGCGCTACCTGTAAACTCAGGACCCACTTAGATATCTTCTGTCTTCTTCCTCGTTTACTCCTTTCAATTCTCACTCAAAATTTAAAATTAAAAATTAAAAATTAAAATTATTCTCTTTACTATATTAGGACATCTAAAAACTACTCCGTATCTAATTTAGTAAATATCAATCAAATACGGTAATATTTTCTGGACAAAAGAAGTAATTAATTAAATGCATGTTGTTCACTTGTTCGCGTAATACCATTGTTTGTAATAATTTAATATCATCGATGTAATCAATTATATATATTGAAACCCATTAGCTATATATATTAATTGCCTTTTAATTTCTTTCCAAATATTTGTGATATTTTTTGTGCTACTGAATTTCTCTAATGGTGTTATTAAATTCGAAGATTTTGGCGAATAAAGGTAGCAATTTAAATGATTTGATTGAGTCAATTTTAGAGGGAATGAAACTCTAGTGACAAATTCAATGGACAATGGCCCATAACTTAAATTTTTGTATTATTATTTGTCATGGTTTTATTTGATTAATTATTGAAAAAAAAATTAGTCAATTCATGGAACAAATAATACTCTTATTATTTCTAACATTTGGAGGGGGGATAAGGGGTATATATATTACGGGTCTTCAATCTCATATTTTTGTTACCGATAATGTGAAAAGAGTATGAGTATAAAACAACATTACAGACCAATTAATAATATAAAAAGTTATTATTATTATATTTATCATTCTTCCTACATGAACCATAGAGGCTAAACCGGTGCTCACTGCGCACAAGGAGCCCCCTCACTTTCAGAGGTTGCTCCTACACAGCCGCTGGTAAGACTCGATCTCTGGTCATTCTTCCAAAGTTTCACCTCTATGACCAGTTGAGCTACCCATGCGGGCTATATTATATTTATCATAATTCATAGTAAAATCGATTACTTTATAACTAGTCAATGAAAATAATATATATATATATATATATATATATATATATATATATATATATATATATTCAATTACACACTAAGTCAGGAATACTATGCAGTAATTAATCTTAATAAAGAAAAGTAGCAAAAAAAATAATAATAAATTATTTGTTATAATCTTTATTACAAAAAATATTTTTTGAATACTATTAACTTTATTACAATGTAGCATATGTTCATACCAAATTCTGTGCACATACTAAACTAGTTACGTTTTTTTTTTTTTTTTTCTGAAATGAGAACAAAACAAATTGGGTTACAAGTGAAAAGGGGCTAGTAAAAAAACAATCATGAATTTTCAAAATTAACCTTTTTATATTCGTCTAGTTAAGAATATAAAAATTTATAGATGATGAAGCATTCAAGTAATGGAATTATATTTTATTATTTTATGTGAGTGGTCCACTGCTTTTGGAACCATTCTAATAGTGCTCGTATTGTTTAGGAATTAACGACCACAGCAATGTAGTAGTAGTACAGTAGTCGGCAAATTTTTCAGTGTACTCGATTCAAATAGAGTTAATTCCAGCAATGGTCTTCCGACTATATTGATTTTCCAAAATTAGTCCTCGATTTTTAATTTGGACACTTTATGTCAATTGACTTTCAATTTCTTTCCAATTGAGGTCCTTTCGTCAAATTACGATAAAGTTGACTTTAAATGAAAGGGTAAAGTAGTCATTTCATCTGCCTAATGTATAATTCTTCATATTTCTTCCTTGTATACGCGACTTCGGACATCAGATTCACTTAATTGCTTAATCCCTAATTGAATTTTGTTCTTCGAGTGGATTTAGGGATTAAGCAATTAAGTGAATCTGATGTCTGAAGTTGCGCATACAAGGGGGAAATACGAAGAATTATACATTAGGTAGATAAAATGAATACTTTACCCTTTCATTTAAAGTCCAATTTACCTTAATTTGACGAAAGGACCTCAATTGGAAAAAAATTAAAAGTCAAAGGACGTAAAGTGTCCAAATTAAAAGTCGAGGACTAAAGTTGGAAAATCAAGATAGTCGGAGGACCATTGCTGGAATTAACTCATTCAAATATTCACAATTTATATATTTAATGTTCACAATTTACCGTTAGAAAATTCACAATTTGTATACTACGAACACACAATGTTAATATATATGTAATTGATTACCTTATTTTGTGTTCACAAGTTCATTTCAAATACTGCACTCACACAATATTTACAGGTTAGGATTTGATGATCTGTATTTTACTCACAAATTCCCTTTACAGTTGTTATGTGTTTTGATTTAGAAACACAATTTATATTCTAAAAATTCACAATTCCAATACTAAAAATACACAATTTATTGGACCAGTATTCACCTTACCAGGTGGACCCTGGTCCTGGTATGACAACTCTCGTTTAAGCTATTCAATCACAATTATATAATAAGATATACTTTTTTGTACTTTCTCATTTTGTATATCGAATTCAGTTGATGACACATGAGGTAAACTATTAATTTAATTTTTTAGTGTTTAATTTAGTATTAGTATATAAAATTCATATATTAAAAATTACATAAAAATATTATTAAAGAAAAAAAACACTGAATTTCAAAATCGTTAAATAATATTAAAGAAAATGAATAAATAAGAGTTGATTTAACCAATAAATAGTAAATAAGACAGATAAAATGTAATAGAAAGTGATAAAATATATGACACACAGTATAAGTAATAAAATATGCATGTATTACTCTTTTTAATTTTGAAATATGATATTTTTGTATATAAAAATTATTTTCACTTTAGTCTTGCGACTAATATAATAAGTCGTCATTTCCACATTTGGTCTTCATTTTTTTTTTTTTTTTTACCATCACATTTGATGCAAAACTATCAGTTTTTGTCACTAGTAATTCACACTAAATCTCATTTAGAAAATAACCATACCATAATGCATTACATTTCCAATTCAAATCATATCGACATAAACATCTCAACGCTTTTTGGAGAAAAAATATATAATTTTGAATTGAAAATGGGACATATTCCAAGTATTTTTTTTTTACTATAAATATGATCGAAATGAATAAATGTGGCAAGAATAATAATTATTGATTAAATATGAAATAACTTAATAGTTGAGGGGATATAAAGTGAACCCGGCCGGTTTTTGATTTTTTGTGGCCCTGTTCTTATAAATAAATGAGGTCTTACCAAAAGTATAAGCGGAATCTTTAAAATAATATCGTAAAATATAGCAATAAAGTACAAATAAGCCACTGAACTATTTGTGAAAACAACAATTAAGCCAGCAAACTCAAATAACCTCCAAATAAACCATTGAACCCGGAAAAAGGAGCTAATAAGTCATTAAACCTGGAAAAAAGAGCAATTAACATTTTTAACAGGTTAGCTCCAGGATTTTTGTTGACTAGATTGCCAAATGTTTATTTTATTTACATTTTGTTTTATTATAATCTACGTACATAGTAATATACTTTAAAGTAATTATAACCAAAATAGTTTTATCTTGTCGAGATTTGATTGATTTATTTATTTATTATTATTATTTTTTCACTAGATCTTCTGTTTAAAAAATAATAATAAATAAAGAAATTAGATCTAGACAACACAAAACTATTTTAATTGATTATAATTACTTTAAAATATATTACTATGTAGGTGGATTATATTTAAAAAAAAAAACGAAAATAAAATATACATTTGATAATCTAGTCAGCAAAAATCTGGAGTTAACCTGTTAAAAATGTTAATTGCTCTTTTTTTCCGGGTTCAATGACTTATTTGAGGGTTATTTGAGTTCGATGGCTTAGTTGTTGTTTCCCAAATAGTTTAGTGACTTATTTGTACTTTATGACTCTTCTTTTCAGTTACAAAATGGTTTTGCCATGCACAAAGAAACATGGTAGAGTAGATGGAGTAAGGCCACTTCTATGTTAGAGGTTTAAGTTTTGGTGGTTGTGTTTCTTTCTCTTTTTGCTAGTTTTAGCTTAACTTGAACTATGCAACAGTTTAGACTCCCTTTGACTTAATTGTCGTTAGGCTCAAACTCCATGGCTCCATCATATTTAAATATAAAGTTAGCAAATTTGACCATTTTATATCAAGTTGATCAAACCACTAAGATTTTTAATAAACACCCATTTTTATTAGTGTTTTTTTTAATAAAAAATGCTAAAACTTAAAAATGTTACTTAGATCAATATTTTTGACTTGGTGTAAAAAAAAAAAAAAAACAGTATTATAACCATAACTAATTAAGTTATTAAATTATTAAATAAAAATTACTTTGTTACAAGTACATAATATGTTAATTAAATGTATATAATATGTTAACTGTATGTACATAATTTGAATATTTTTATGGACCAGAATAAATGCAAGATGAGCCTTGGTCGTTTATGATATAATTTTTCAATAAACATATTTTTATTAGAAATACATATGGATAAATTATATGTGTAATAACAAATAATAATTAAATCTTGTTAATATAAACATAAAAACTAAGTTAATAATTAATCATTTTAATATAATATAGATTACATGGTTTTTGTTTTTTTGTTTTGTTTTTTAATTTTAATATAATCATAAGTTTAACATTGAACATTAATATTATCGTGTTGATAAATACTAGTTTAAATAATATAAGTAAAATTGTTTTTTTCCTTTTTAATAAAAAGGAATAAGGCTCACATAAGTTATCAAACTGCACATTGTAATGTAATTATGTCACTGAACCTAAAACACTACAATTAAATCTCTAAACTAACCAATTCTATGCAATTCCTCCAATTTGTAGATTTTTTTATCGCCGAAATTTAAAATATTTTTTAATTTTTTTTTAAAAAAGACTTCGTCTCTGGCCACTACTGGATCAGGAGCCCGGTTCTGTGGAAAGAGTCCCCCTTAGAACTGACAAAGCAAGGCCGGTTTATCAAAAAAT